GCATTCTGTTGCTACGTATCCAAGAAATGATTACGACGCAATAAGAATATTTCTAAAATGTCCAAATTGAATTGGTTGAAAAAATGTTTAAGCAATTTAATCAGTTAAATGTTACATAGTAAACCTTCTTCAAATATTTTTGTTTTCGTTTAATCCATCAGGAACACGGTATTATGAAATTTAAACAATTGATACACACCCCTAAAATGTTCAGCGCATCTGCTTACCATTACCTAAATTAGTTGATATTGAATAGCTTTAGCGAAACGTTGCTCAAAAATGTGAGACGAAAATTTATTTTTCACTTACAAACTTATTTTACATTTACGCTAGAACCCATAGGTTGACGTCATAATTGTAATGATGACGTAATCATTAAATTTATATTTTATTAATTTATTTTTTAATTTTTTATTTATATGTATTGATTAAATATAATGACATGTAGAAATAATAAGAGAAAATTGCTTTCTTTTATCGAACGTTTATCGATCTTTGTTATCTAATAAACAAAACAAACTTAAATGACGAATTGTTTGTTTAATGAAGCCATCTTCGTAAATGTTGTGTTCCCAAATGAAAGTATCTCTCTGTTCCAACTTTTGTTTATTATTCACCGAGTTGCTCTTATGACATTCATTCTAGTAATGGATTATAATGAAGATAGGTGAGGAATTCCTGTCAAACGGCGCATGAATTTGGATTTTTAGAACGTACTATAACGAATAAAGAGAAAGAAAATCGACAGCTCACTCAATGTCCATAGAAACGTTTTTTTGTTAATTGTAAATTATTTATGGATTATTTGATCCAAAGATATATTGTTAAAACCTGTAAATTAAAATTTGTCACTGAAATGCCAAATTTGACATCTTTGTCTATTTCTAATAATTATTAATATCTTTGTTATAGGGAAATTTAATATCGTATAATTTTATTTCCCTAGAACAAAGATATTAAAAAGTGATAAAATAAAACTCCCGACATACTCTTTAAAACAGTCATTAAATTTAAATACATATATGTATATGCGTATACTAATTTTTATATTAATTTGTATGTATGTGTCGCAGAGTAAGTGTGCGTGAGGATGTACGTGTGCATTTGTGTATTTTATGAGTTAGCGTGCATATTGAATAAGAGGAAGCAAATTTGTTACTGTGTTAGTACGTATTAATGGGTGTTGTATACACGTGTGAAGCAGTTTTACAAAACCACCACTAAAAGTCTACCTTTAACAGGGCAAATTCTTAAGTAATTTTCTGATTCCACCATTCCTGAACAGTTTCTGCACCGTAGTAGCAACTAGCAAGAAGTGAATATAATCTCCTATTTTAGTTGCGAACTCAGAAATATAAAGAACCTTTGACTAAAAGACATTTTTATTGGAAGGGATTTAGCAATAAATTAGTGACGCCGGGCGAGCTCCTTCTTCACCGGGCTTCCGCAAAATTGATGAAAATCGAGCTAATTAAATAATATTATAAAAAGCTGCTTTAAGGTTAATAGTTCACGTTGATTATAGAGTTTATCCAAGGGTACAGAAAATTTTTGAAGAATAAAAAATACAAATTAAGTACTGCGGTTTATTTTCGTTCTATTTAGATGAAATGGTAATAGCTTAGGAGTAATCTCTCACAGGTTAGGATATAGTAATGATGAAACAGTCGTGAATAAAAATTATTAAAGTAAAAGTGCTTCATAGAGATCATTTTTAGGGTTCCATATACAGGGTAAAACGGGACTCTTACTAAGACTCCACTGTCGGTCTTCTCTGTCTGTCCGTCTATCTGTCACCAGTCTGCTTCTCATGAACCGTGATAGTAAGACAGTTGAAATTTTCACAGATGATGCATTTCTATTATTGCTAAAACAAAAAAGACTAAAAAACGGAATAAAAAATATTTACGCGTGGCTCCCATACACCAGACATGATTTGTTTACCGTTTTTGTAGATATTGGTACGGAACCCTTCGTGCGCGAGTTCAACTCGCACTTACCGGTTTTATAAACTGTTACGATCTGGGAACCTTCAAGTAAAGAGCTCTTTCCTGAAAGGCCGGCAACGCATTTGCAAGCTCTTCGTAGAGCCGGATGTTTATAGGCTGCCGTGATCACTCTCCATCAGGTAAGCCTCCTCCGCCCATTTGTCTCCTTTTTAGATAAAAAAGACCAATTTTTAATTTTTAATGAACCCATCGCCACTTACCATCAAGTGGAATTACGATCAATCACTAGTTTTCGTAATGTTGAGAATGTGTTAATGTTGTGAAAGAAGTAATGTGAGAACATAATTTATTCCCACGCATATACCAGTCTATTACTTTTCTATGTACTATTAAAGTATTTTATATTGTTAAATAAAAATAAATGATATGGTATTCATCAAATCTGAATAATTTATTAACAATTGCATAATTATATGAAAAAACCGATGACGATTTAATAAGTAAGAAGTAGAAGATCACTAGCTAATCCTAAATAATGTAGAGATGAATAAACGTATTCAAGAAAGAAATGAGTTAATATAAAAGAAATTAGTTATTACAAAAGAAATGAGGTGGAATAAATATGTCATTTAAGATTACTGACGCAACCAGTTTTGGCTCTAGTCATGTAATCTCACATTTTGCGATAATAATGGTGGTTCATCATGTTTGAAATTAATTTATGTATAGTATTACAATATAAGGGAAGTTTATGGTTATGTTTTCATCGACCTTTTGAAAACGATTGACAATTGAATAAAAGTCAACGAGCAGACGAAATGAGGTCATTACTCTTTTATGGCAAGCTGCCTTCTGCAGTGGATAATGGATGGGGCGTTATAACAGTAATAAAATGGAAAATTATTTTTAAAAAATGGTCATAAATATTAGTGTGTTTGAATAATAAATATTAAAACATTATTTCCCTGATATTATTGTAATTACTTTTTTATGTATTTTGCTTAATTGCTCAAGTTAAAAACATAAATTAAAAAGTTTTCTACAGCCGTGTCGGAAAGAACATTTGCAATATGGAATAAACGTAATAAACCTGTAACGCTATTAAAACTTTCAGTACCAAAGTTATCCCAAAACTAAAGGTAAAGCTTAAACGGCTTAGGGTACTTTAAGGTTAAGTGATGATAATAGTGGGAGCATGTTATTTCTATTTCAACCTCTCAAATGACCTAAAATGTTGTTACTAAAAGATCTATTTGTTAATATAATGTCTTGCTTTGCTTAGTTAATTTTCTATTTTTCTCCATAGTACTTGACAACTGTTGGAAGCGCTCAGATAAAACGTAAAATGGCGTGCTTTGTGAAACATATTATATGCATAATATTATATGATAAATATATTTTCTACAAGAAAACAGAAACAAGAATAAAACTTATTTACAATTTAAGATTGTATTTATTTTTACCACTAATTTTCTTATACTTTTGTTAACGTTTTTGTAAGTGAATAAAGAAATTATTCTATAGGGCGACCTTATTATAAGTAATATTCTTACAGGCACCTTTAGGATGGAAGGAATATAGTATGTCTTTACCAATGTTTTCCTCTTTACTTTACATGCTTTTAGTTTGCTAAAATTTTTATAGACTAATTTCATAATAATATCAAATAACCATAAGAATAAACTACATAATGTCAAAAAATAAATATAAATAAAAATTGCATAACATATATTTAAATTGCACAACGTTATCTAGTCCCAAACTAAGCAATTCGTGTACTATTTTTTATTTACTATTATTTTTTTTTTGTACTAATATTTAGTTACTCTTTTTACTTTTTGTTTAAAAGTACATATCATAGGTATATAACCTAACCAAACACCCAGACTCTAGGAAAACACCATTTTCACACAATATTTTTCCAGTAGTGAAAGTCGAACCCACACTCTCTGACGTAAGAGCCTGTCTCTTCATTATCTTTTAACTGATATATAACGTTGGGTACTCAAAATCGTTGCATAAAATGTATGACACCTTTCTTAACTGTCTACCTGATATAACAACAAAGAAATATAGGGTTGAGTTTTACAAAATTAAATTAATGTATCAGCTATACGGCTAATCTAAACACTATTCGTGAAATAAACATGCAAGCAAATTTTACTCGCAATGGGGCAACATTCCTTTGCGTACGATAATCGAAATGCTGGAATTATTCAGAAAATGTTATTAAGTCGACCCAAAACTTTAACGTGGAATAATAATACTTCAAGGGTCCGTTATCTCTCCAGTAGGAATACGGGGTTGCAATTTACATAGAAATATGGTATGTTATATTTACATTAGCTTGTATTGAAATTATTTGCATATAAAATGGCTATATTCTGTGTTCATTTAGTGTAATTGCACGTTTTTTAAAAGTAATAAAGTCTAAAGTAACATAGAAGCATTATAGTTAAAATATACTAATAAAAAAATATACATCAGCTTCCAGAAATCAGCCTGCCAGCTCACAAATATTAAGTAATTTTTCTTAAAAATTAATATTTCGCGCTAGATAGCACAATAATAATGATGTCATGGTTAATTGCACTTATAACCATTTTTTAAAGTATTCTAATTTTAATACTTTTTACGTTTAATTTTGATAATATTATGTTTAATTTAATATTACGTTTAATTTTTCGGTATTCATTAAGTCAATTTAAAAATTGTTTTCTCAACTCTATTCGACCACAGCCTAGGTGTTTTATATTGTAATGTCTTTTGTGCCGATCAGAAGGTTCGTGAATAACCTTGATACCTATTTCCCCACATGTCCAGACACCTGGTCGGATTATGTATAAATTATATTATATATGTACAAATTTGTATGTAAAACAAAACATAATCCGACTGATCCAATCCGAAATATACACGGGTTAAAAAAAACAATAATATAAATATTCAAATTTATTGTAAAAATTCTTCATTCTTATTTAAAAGTGTAACTGAGTAAACTTCTAATTACGTTCACTAGATATCTCCTATTTATGGCAGTGTATTTTCTCAACTTCCCGAGTCCAATGAACAACCTGGCAACAAAAACATTAACACATATTATAATACTTCATTTGAGTTTATTTATACACCAGTAAACTTACATTATATTGTACAGCTTTTAAGTCCCCTATCAAAGTACACTTTACAAATAAATATTTTATTGCATTGAGTCGTTAGCTAGTGTTGTATTTCATTTTATGTATCCGTGATATAATTATTTAATCATTTTAATTATTTAACCCTATTCATCATTTTATTTAAATATAATTATTTAACCCTATTAATCATTTTATTTCGAATTCAGTCACTGAGTGATTTCCTAGTTGTTTTAAAAACAATTGGCTCGGAAATTCTTTTAAAAGTATAGTACATATTAAAGATTAGTAAAAATGGTAACCGACCGTGATCTGGACAATAATGGCGCCGACGCCGTCGCCGGCGCTGATCGTCGCAGGAGTCGATACACGTCTCTTCTATAATGAAAAGCAAGATTATAGAAAAATGGCTTTTGTCTATACAAAGAGTAAATCCTATACAAGTACAGCAGCTGGGCAAATACCCTGAACGGAGGGTAATAGGGCGTAGTCCATCACGCGACCCCGCTGAGACTGACAGATTTCACATATTTTCACAACATTCTTATCGATGTAATAAAAATATGTGAATAATAAATGATTGGTTTCCTATCGAGTAAATAAGTTAAAATTGCATTCCAATACGAACATTAAGACCAAATTTTTAACTTATTGCTGTAATGATATCTTATACTAAATTTTTATATTTTATTAGTAGTCCTTACGAAACAATTTGAGCTGAATTTTTTCCTTTCTTATATGGCATCACATTCCTCGTTTTTATATTCTTTAAATCATATTCAAACGATTCTGCGGATAGTTAGTCACAAAAATAACATTTATTCACTAATCTTAACATTGAATATAAAAAAAACGAAATTTAACACTAAAATAGTAGGATTTACTTTTTTTAATCGACTTGACGTTTACAAAAAGTTAATATTGTTTTATCTTTTCAATAACTTTTTTATGAATATTTCTAATCCTGAAAGTTGATTAGGCTACCTTTGCACGCACCATAAAGTCCAGTGGCGATTCAACATCTCTAGCCAAAGTTATGGTCGCATAAAAATATATTCATAAAATCTGATTTTTATCATACTCATATTTTTTATACTAACATTTAAAATCTTGTTGATTTACACATACCATCACAACATGAGGAATGTGCTGGGGGGGCAGCCTCGTCATCATGACGTGCCAACGCTCGTAACTGCAGGGTGTATGCCCTAGACCCAGCACCAGTGATCCCAGGTCCGCCAGCGAATGTTGCGTATGGGCTTATCTCGTAAACGTCTAATTAATCCAGGGAAAATTGTTAATCGTCATTGAAAGTATTAGTGCTTCGACAGGGAACTACATTTGTGTGGCCCACAGATAGTTGTTTCGCATCTGGGTGTTATTCCGCGTGAAATTTATGTTTGTAAAATGTCCTTACAACACAGGATAATGTTATCCTAAAGTAAGGGCAATAAAAAAGAAAAAAAAAAAGAAATAAATAAAAAATCTAGGCCGTAACATATTGCAATGAATTCTGCAAGTGAGTTACACTTATTGGGCCCTTTAGACTTATTAACCTTACACTCTTATTGGACACCAGTTAATAAATATATACAATGTTTTTAAATTCTCCTGGCTGGTTGGTAAAAATGTTATACTTCTTTCAGTGCGTTTCGAAAAAAATATGAGAAAAGATTTTTATATAATTCCAAGTTATTTATTTAACATAAGTCTCATTCTCTCTACACACATACATTTTTTATCAAAGTTTCGTCATGAAACTTGTGATATGATACATAATTATGAATTACATATCGCAATTACTAATTCATCTATGGTAATGAGTTTGATATATTATGTGATTTTTACCCGGTGGATCTGGCAGTAGCTTGGGTGTTGTATGCGGTGGTTCCCCGTACGTCCCACAGCCTTGTTTATCAGCGTTAGTCGTCACTCGCGCCACAACACCATCAGTTCTATGAAAGTATATTAATCTAGCATCTTCGCTTTAACACTGTCATCAAAACATTAATTTTAAATCGCTTTTCACTCAAATTACGTCAATTGGTTTAATAAGATTTCAATTCTATGGACTGCTATCTCTTTCCGTTCATACGTTCTATATCATCTGTCATATACACTTATATATGTCATATGATTTAAAAAGGCTCAATTTTTAAACTATATTATTAAACATCATTGCTATACATAGACATACCCCCGTGGGATACAAATTGCGCAGACACTTTGCCTGTCTCTAATAGAAGGAGTATTATGATCAGGACTGGGGCGGCATCAGAGTGAGTACATTAATTGCTCCCTTTTAGAACCGCCAATATACTATACTGGCGGTTTTAGAATTAAAAAAAAATGGGTTTTACAAATGAGCTCATTTTGTAAACGTCTACAAGTAGCGGAACAGTTTTGGATAGCTGGCCGCCTTTTCAAATATATTCAATATAACCTCTAAAAACACATTCTTACCTTTTACGCCTTAAAAGAATTGCCAATATGGTCAATGCTGCCAAAGATAACGCCGCACATAATGCTAACAATAATGCAAGCTCCCCGGCTGTCGCGGGAAATGGGGCGTCAACTTCCTCAGCGAAAGTTCCTTCCAGCGATAGAGTAGAAAATTCGTAGACTTCCCGTGTCAAGCCCGCTTCGTTAGACGCGCGAGCAGCCACGCGGTATCTTGATCCAGGAGTTAATCCTATTAAAAATATGCCCGTCACTCAGTGGGATTAAAATATTTCCTCGTTTTTCATGTGTACTAGAAGTTTGGGGAACAGTGTGCCCGCATTTATATATCTAAGAACTTAATACTACTTTGCATAAAGTGGAATGGTAGTCAAGATTTTAATGTTATAAAGGCATAAATTACCGCTTAGAATAACTTCTCCTCCAACTGGTACATCCCGTGCTCCTAACGCACCAGAACCAGCCCACTCGAGTTTTAACGCCACTGGGCCACATCCACCGTCTGACCACATAGTCGTGTCGAACTTGGCGTGTGTGGCATTTGCTCTAATCCATCTGGAATCGGGTGGTGCGGCTGGTGGCCCACCGGACGTTCTTACTGCAATTTCAGTTCCGGGAGCACCTCCAGCTGATCCGTAGACGCGGTACGCTGAACCACACCGCAGGCCGCTTAAAGTAACCGGACCTGGGTTCGCACCTTGCAGCCGCCATTCTCCCTAAAATTTAACTTGTCAAACATGTGCCAAATTCAGAATCTTAAAATATATTATGATTATTTACCTCCGGGGTAGCAAGCCTCCAATGCAATGTATAAGCTTTAGGAAGCGCGTGTCCGGGTGCTCTTGGGGTTGGTCTTAGGTCAAGTTCTAACTCTCTAGACCTTGCTTCTAATAAAGCTAAGCTTGGTGGAGCTGGAGGACGCAATACAATCACTCGCCAGGTAACGGAATCTGAGCCGTGAGGGTTTTCAGCAACGCAAGTGTAATTATCAGCATGTGACAGTTCTAAGCCTAGAATGAAAGGTTAAAAATAATGGAGCAAAACAAATATATGTTTCACAAATACGGTGTTGTGCGCAATATATTTACCTCTAATAAGTAGAGCGTCACCTTCTAGTTGGAACGGTGGAATTGGTTGCAGGGGATTACCAGCACGAAGCCAACGTTTTGCTGGAGGCGGTACTCCTCCAACAACGCAACGTAAAGACAAAGCGCTCCCAGCTGCTTCCATAGCTAAACCACCAAAGGACGATATTCGAGCCGGGGCTAAAAAGTTATTTTTTATTCAATAACATACCTGAGTCTAAGAATAAAGTAAAAAAAAAACCGCAAATACCCAATGCACTTGTTTGGCAAGCGACGACAGTAGACGGTGGCCCCTCTCCAGCACTTGTAGCCGCTCTGACCCACGCTTCGTAGGTCCTTCCTGAACGAAGACCGCGCAAAGGTTTCATACATTCATCGCCGTCCATACACGCATTTACTCTTGTTATGTTCGGTTCCTGTGATCTACAAAAATATTAAAGCTTAAAATAATACAGACAAAGATCTTTGGTAATGTTCTATCGTATGTAGACAATACACATAATACGATCTGTAATTACAGATTTATATACTTAGCTACCAGTTTATGATATTTTAATCGACGCAATGACGATAAATAAACGAAATGAGGTGTTCATTTAGCGTACCCTGATAAGTCTTTGACGTAGAGGGTGTAATGCGTAAGTTTTCCATTAGGATGTGGAGGTGGCAACCATGATGCTCTTAAAGATCGCTCACTCAAAGCTATAAGCTTCATACCCCCCGGCGCACTAGGCACTGAAATATATATAAAGCATTATTTTATGTTTAATCCTGTGATTATATAAGCGAATCTTTTCAAAATGTACATTTTTATAGGAGAAAATAATGAAAATAGTTAAGAGAGGTTAAAGGAATATTCTCGCGTTAATGTAATGAAACTTGAAATAAGTTGTTTACCTACCGTCTTCGTCGGTACGGCAGTATTGTGGTGCCGACAACGGACCATCACCAGCTGCGTTATGTGCCCGAACCCTTATTTCGTACTCAGCATATGGAGTTAATCGAGAAACTGTAGTCTCTTCACCCTAGAAGTGTGGAAGAAAATTAAGCTTTTAATCATTTAAAAAATATACAGGTAATTTTCATAATTTTAGAATTACTTAGTAAATACACGAATTTCTCGAACAATTGATCAGATAATTAATTAGTAGTCTTGGGAATGCATGAGTATTAGTTGTTCATTCTGGAGACCCGTATGGTATTGGGTTCGCATAATCAACAAATAACTTCCCGTGATAAAAAAAAGCCATATATTTTGTTTATTTATGCTTTGGTAAAGCATAATGTAGGTACCAAAAATAATTAGCTCTGGCACCAACGTTTGTCGATCCCTAACGAATTAATAATTAACAAACCTGAACTCGCAAATAAGCGTCTTGAGGTGGCAATAAAGGATCGGAATCCCTCCTTGTGTATTGTAATGTATAGTGGGTTATGATGCCACCGCGTGATTCCAGTGCCGGGGGATGCCATGATACTCTGAGTGACGTCGATCCACTCGAGATACATGGTAACAGGTCAGGACTCCCGTTTGGCGCTAAAGACAAAATTGATATTGAATCCTTTAAAAAAACTTAGTCCAATGGGGACTGCCGACAGAAGTATTAAATTTTACCTATTTTATAGGTATTCCAAACGATAATAACAGTATTTACATCATATCCATAACTACAAATATATCTTTGTGTATTCGTTTTTTAAAAATGGCTCATGCAAAGTATTCGCTGACGGTGACGCGAGTTTCACGCTTTTTGTTCACCCAAAAAGTACACATATATACACGGTATACATACAGCTCTCGGAAAGCGTTCGGTGACGATGAGGAGAGCTCTATGATTTTTGTTCATCCAAAGTGTTCAACGCGCCTTAAAAAGTTTTCACTTTAAAAAAATTCGGATAGTTAATCCTAAAGCTTTTTTTACAATACTACGTATTAAACCCTAAAGTTACATATCCCACAAAGCTGGTTAAAATTCTTAACGTATCAGATTAAATAGTATAACATTGTAATTTTGACGTTATATAATAGCTCAGAGTTATTCATATTTTCTTTACATTTATTTAGTAATTACTCATACTTCTCAATAATTTTTATTTTACAAACCGCATAAAGTTTATTACTTGACATAAAAAGTTAATAAATAGTTTACTTTTAAATGAATAAAATGTAAGATAAGAATAGAAGTTGTGAAATATCAGCATTTTTATACATATATCGGATTTACTTACACAATACTGAAAAATTAAACTTTACTCACGTGATTCTAAGGTATGGCGGTAATGCGGTGGCGACACTGGGCCAGCACCGGCGGCGTTGTAAGCCCTCACGGTGACACCGTATCTGGTGGCCGCTTTGAGCCCCCTTAAAGTGGTACTAGTTGCGTCAGCACTCGCACCACTCTCCGATCCCGAGCCTTCGCCAATACCCTTACCCTCTTCAGATACCTCCCACCACCGTATCGTGTAGCCCAACAGGGTGCCATGCCAAGTTTCCCTTGGTGGAGGCTATGAAAAGATTTACTTTAGTGTTAAAACTCGGTTTCATAATTAAAAAAAAAACAACCTGATGTTTTATGTATAAACTTTAAAGTAATTTTAACATTTTGGAAAATAGGTGTCTATCATTATCATGGTTTTCATATTTACTTTAAGGTCAAATATTCTTATATTTATACTATTATCTTTATCTTTATATAAGTCCTGTGTACAGGGCAAGGTCTATCCGGTCCGCTAGTGGTAATATATTTTATCTCAAAGTTAGCTCTGTTATACAGCGTGTCTTTACCACCACGACAATAAATGAACACACTTCTAACGCTACTTGCCAATAATCATAAAAAATATTACCGTTAAAAAAATCCATAATTAAAAAAAATATTTTTAAAACAAACTAATTAAGTAAAAAGGAAACAAAATTTGTAACATCCTATACAACTACAACTGACTAATTCATACATTCAGAGACTTTTTTATTCGTTGCCACAGCGCCGCATTAAAAGCCTCTCCTTCTAACAGTATGTTTTCTCTCTTTTAAATTCATGCAACCCATTCATATGCTTTGTGACCTTTACAAATGAACTTTACATTAAAGTTTTATGCATAAGGATGTTCTAAAATTCTTTGTTTTGGAAAATTTGATAACTCGGTAAATATCGATGTTTAAAGAATGTAAATCTTTAATATAATTTTAAAAAGTTATCCTCTATATGTGTGTTCATTTATTGTCGCGATGGAACTCTCCAATTATAAAAATTATATTTTGAAGAAATTATATTAGTCGCTAAGCAGTATTCGTCCAATCGCTAAGAAGATTCTTTTTTTTTTTCAATCTTTTAAAGTATTTTATGAATGTCAATTGTTATTTACTTACTTGCCAAGTAACTAGCAATTCTCGATCACGGAGAGCTCTAACGATTATGTCACGCGGCACTCCTCCTGGCGCTGTCAAAATAAAAGTTCTATATTGTTTAAGTATAACTTATCAGAATTAACACTGTTTCTAAATTATTAGTACTATCAAACTATATATTTAAAACTACTAGTTATAAGTTTGAAACAATAATAATAAGTTCGGTACAAAAATGATTATACTTTAGAAGTACTCATATTCTTACCGAACATAGCATAACTGACTTTAATAACATAAAATAGTACGACAGTACTCAGTGCAGGATACAAAAAGCTGAATCTTCATAATTTATTGTATTTGGGTGGTTAAACATTATAAATGAAACTACTTTTACGGGTTTATTATTACTAAAATTAAAAATTAAACTCGATAATTCCGTAAAAATAAAACCAGTTTCATTTTTATGCTGAAACTTTCACAAAAGCGTATTTATACCTTCCTCTCGAGTGGTGAAGTGGAGTGGTGTTGTGTAGGGTGACGCGCCGACATCGTTGTAGGCGGCCAGCCTGAGTACGTATCGTGTGTCGGGGGCTAATCCCATCACTAAAGCTCCGGCACGACCCAGCCCCTCCGATCTGAATGGTCAATAGGCTTAAGCGATAATCCCGTTGTAATGGAAAATCGGGCACAAACTGAAAATGCTTTAATGCCACACAAAATCTAAATATCTCGTGCGCTTCAACGATTAAATAGATATTGTTGCGTGGTCCGTCTTTAATTTGTAAATCGAAATCGATGGTGTTGGCCACTTTAACCATGGAACGTTAACTAGTTTTACCTCCTTAATCCCCTTCAGTACAAATGCAATTAATAAAGGAGGGAGGGACAGCGGTGTAATAACGAAATACGTACAGTTCACATAAACGCACAAATTAAGTTTATTATATGCTTATTATCAGCACTACCAATATATAAAAACGGAGCCGTAATAGCTCAGTCTCCGGGCGCTCGCCTTTAATTCAATATACTCGAGCAGTCCAATGAAATTGTTAATTTCAAGAGCTGAATTATAACGTTCTTAGCGGTGAAAGAAAAAATCGTGAGGAAACTTGCATATTTTCGAAATAAAAACAAAATAAATATTCCGAAGATGTGTGAAGTCCCTCAATCCGCAGGGGCCAGCGTGCCTGACTGCTGGACGCCCTTATATCCCCCTTACGGAGAAGGCCTTTGCCCAGCAGTGGGATATGTACATGCTTTTACTTTACTATACTTAACTTTTATAAAAATGGTACTTACGCAACATGAAGAAGATCGGAATTAGTTAAAGTCACATTAACAACACCTGGTGTATCCCATGTACTCGACAACGTAGGCACGGGAATGTTTGATACAACATTTGGCATATCAAGTTTAAGAGCTTTATACTGTAATGTATAGTGGGACACAATTACTCCTTTTGCCACTCTCCAAGTAATACGAGCTCTCCTCGACCATAATTCAGAAATACGAACTTCCTCGGGGACGTTGGGGCGTTCTAAATGAAAGACAAATCTTTTTTATTACATGAAGCTTAATACCGGAAAGTAGCAAAAATTATATAGTTAAGCATGACTCAAATCTGTCTGTGAACTAATTATAATTTATTCAAATTATGAGATCTTGAACAGTAAAAAAAATATATTGGTTATTTTTTATAAAATCCTATTTGATACAGATTAATGAAAAAGATGTTATGATTATATGCGATTAATGGTAAAGAAGTCATGGTAAACCAACTGTATTACGCGACATTTAATTATTGAAAAATTATGAATTGAAATTTAAAAATATTCAAAAATAAAAACTAAATTACTACTAATTAAAATTAAAAATCTTATCGTAAAAATATATACACTTAAATATAATCGTAGCAATGAAAGTATCTATTTTATATATATTATATTAATGTATAAAGCCAATTCATCTAAAATACCATTATCCTTATCTGGTCGATCATAAATACGAAATGAGCTGAACAAAGCCAACCGTAAAGACCGAAGACGTACCTTTTACAAATAACCGAAAAAGTATAGCATCGTTTCCGTATAGATTTCGCGCCAGGCACTGATAATCCCCAGCGTGTTCCGGACCTGCGTGTGTGATTGTTATTTCAGAGGTCGTCATTCCGTTTCCAATATCTTTTGTCTCCACACCACCTGTACCACTAATATAATAATAACACATATTAATATGCGTGTACACTTAACTTAAAGAAAAACACAAATATAAAAGAAAATTTACACAAAAAGAAAAGTGTAGCTTATGTTTTGTATGATATAATAAGGAATACGCCTTAAATTATTAGCTAGGCTTTCAATTTAACTTGTAAAAAAAGATTAACATTGCATTAATAAATTCCTGTTCATAAATTGGAATTTTATTGCTTCATATCTGAAATAACTTTATGACTGTCACTATCACACAAACTAAGAATCAGATACCATGATTATTATAATTAACCATGTGCACAAAACTTACTGCAGAGACAAAGGGCGGGAATCATGTGTCCAGTGCATGTGAATTTCTGGCTCTCCCCTTACTGTGCAGGTGAGACGTGCTGTTGATCCTCTAACTACCCATCGAATTTCACCACCGCCATCACCCCGTGCCAGTTTTGGAGGTTCTATACAGTATACACCACACTTTCGATTATTATAAACAAGTAGTACTAACACCAGTTAAGTGAAGAAAAAGAAACACCAGTTAAGTAAGAAAAATCATACATCATACATGAACAAGAAAATGAAAAAGAGGTTATTATTTTTATTCCAAAATGAACCTGATTGAATATCCTTTAGTAATTTCCATATTAAATTTTTGTATGATGGATACAATTTTTCGATGTAATTTTTGCAATATGGAATTTGAAATTAAAAGTTCTGCAGGATTTAACAAAAATAGATATGTAGTACCGAGATTTTTGCATTTTTTTTATTAAGGACATAAAACAAATAAGGGTTACGTGCACATTCGAGAGTATCTTAATTATACGGGGTGTTACAAAACTACTCATAAAGTCGAAAGGAATTGGGGCATTATAACGAGTTCATTCGCAAAATTTAAGCTCCGTAGTAACGCTGTATAACATACCCCAAAAAAAAAAAAAAAACATTATTATTATTTTCACTAGTGTGCAAACCCTATTTCAGTCAAATTAAAGGGTAACCTACGCAGAATGTACCTACATTTCTACCTAATTCACGGAACGACGAGCCGGTGGAATGTAGACGTCTTGACATGTTCAGAAAACGCTGGTACTGGTACGAAGGCAGCCGTCGCTGTTCAGTGGGGGGGTCTACCATCGATAAACTGTTGCCGATACAGTTCGTGTGCACGATTTAAATTGCTATATTCATGGCCTATGCATAACATCATTTCGTAATATTCCGAGTTAGAAAGCAACATTATTTTGCAAAAAAAAAAAAAAAACTCGAAACAGTCGTATGATATCGATTAGATTTTAAATGGACAACATATTTTTTCCAACTTGCCATTTTTGGAGCCAGTACTTGAGTATAATGACATCCTTGTATTGAGGTAGCAAACATTTATGAATGAAAAATAGAAAAACTATAAAAGTAGACAATTATTAGGTAAAATAGGTACGTAGGCCTTTCTGTTAAGTAATTTGGTTCCCTGACATGACAGCTTACTAGGGCAGACAACATTTTTGGCTTTTATAATTAATTGGGTATTTTGTTACACGTTGGTATGCTGCTAACAAATACGGTGAATAAAAAAAAACAAATGTAAATAAAATAAATTCGTTCAATTGTAATTGTTCATTAAAATAAAAAATTAATAATCTATTACAGTCAAAGATAATTTCTTTTCTTCTTTACTTCTTTTTGAAAATTGTTTTTTTAACTTAAAATAGCATTTTAATAAAAAAAAAAACATTAAAAAGCATATTAAAACACTTATCTTGCTTACCTCTTACGTCAAGGTAAAATGAATGATGTAAAAATGAATGTTGGACTCGAGCCGTACACCTATACCACCCTTCGTGACTAGAGGTGACTGCTTTCAGCCAAATTGTACCATCCGATAGAACAGATCCTTCTCCATTGTCGGTCGATTCTGATTGACTCCATAAAATATGATGCCAATTATCGCCGCCTAGTAAAATTTATAATTAAATACAATATTCTATATAATCAAATAATCCCAAATTTTTATCACGACGCACATGTTACCTGAAGAAAATTCCCAAGATATGTGAGGGGAGGGCTGCCCTTTAGCCGAACATGGCAGAAGTACAGCTGCTCCAACAGAAACTGATGTATTCTGTGCTCGCCATACCCAAGTTGGTGATTCTATGCGTAATAACTGTTTTAATTGATAGATTATTCAATTCTTAATTATTAATATGACTGATCGTTATAAGTCTTTAAGAATCAGCAAAAAGACACAAGCGTATCTTAATAAGTACCTTTAACAATTAACGGTGCTGTATGGCTTATTGTACCAAAGTCATTAGTTGCTCTGCATGAATATTCCCCGGTGTGTGCAGAAGAAAGATTGTGAATTACTAAAATGGAGAAAAAGTCCATATTTTTCTGTTCCACCTAAATGTAAATCTAAGCATTAGTTAAATTTTGACTATGAAATAAATACGTACCATAGCATCATGTAATTAACATAGATTTTGTTTTAAAATATACCTTTAATACAGATGGTATAGGTAAGTTGTCTTTATGCCATGAAAATAATATAGGTTTATCTCCGGATACCAAACTGCAGGTTGCCTGTGCACTTCCGCCTACTTCCAGCTCCTCAGGAAAGTGAAATGGCATTATTTTCGGTGGCTCTGTAGAAAGCAAAGTTAACGATGAATTAAACTTAATTAACATTTTCAACCTTATTTATATACACACTTACTGTGCACATCAAGACGAACGGTTCTTCTCGCCAACTCCCCACTTTCAGCTCTTACTTCACACGTGTAAGTGCCTGCATCAGCACTTCTAACTGAAGCAAGTCTTAATATACCAAGTTCATCGTTAGATTCCAGAACATTGTCGATTACTGACCCATCTTCACGACGCCAAATTACTTCCCTATAAGTTCAGATAACAAAAGAAGAAAGAAAAATAGAAACGTGTATAGATGAAAAAAAATTGTGGAACTGATACTTACTTGATGGGATATCCCGAATAAGGACAGTTTAATGTTACGTCCGTATTTGTTTTTACATGTATCGGTGATAAATAGCGAATGTTTGGTGGACCTAATATAAACAATGGTTAATATAATAAAATAAATCATTACCATTTTTTTATACTATGGTTTACTAACCAAAAATATTAAGTCTTGCGTGATGCGCATGGGAGCCTCCAGAACTGGTCGCATTACATCCATATCTACCACCTTCGTCAGCAGTCCGGATAGTAATACGTAAAGTTGATACTATTGCACCTTCATCACCACTAGGTAATGATTCAGCTCTTGTATTCACACTGTACCTAAAATTTTAAGACATTTAAGTAACTTAAATAACGTTATAATACGGAGAATTTTTTAATACACACACAAGCATACTTATCAGGAGCCGCTGGTAACGGTCTGTCGTCTAATGTCCACAATATTCTTGGTGGTGGTATACCAGTGGCAGCACATCTTAACACAATGCTTTGACCAATTCTCGTCACGGCCTCGCTAAATGTAGAAATAAGCCTCGGTGGTCTGTCTGAAATATGTTCCTACAGTCGTTAACTTGACGTGATAAAATTTTAAACATAATAATGAAAATAATATATACCAGCTATAACTAGTTCTGATCCTGATACTGCTGTATCCGTGTGGTCGTACGCCGTGCATTGGTACAGACCGCCGTGGTGAGATCGAACCGGGCCAAGGGATAGACGGGATTGCGGTGCGTGCAAAGGTCGCCCTTCGTGCTGCCAGCTCAATGTGACCCCACTACCACGCCCCCCTTGTACTGTGCAATTAAATACACCAGATCCACCAGTTCCCAATATCTGAAACGTGTACATAAAAAAGCCTAATGAGCTTAGATCAATCATTATATTGGATCCGCAGTTAGTTACCGTCGAACGAATGGTTTGTACGCAAATATTTATCAAACGCACTAAACGAAAACGGTCGCTAGTATTCTTTTTAACTGTTACGAGTATGTATGTACTACAAGTACATAATCTTAATAAGTAGTTTATAACGAATTATATGTGACATTGAACTTACTAACGGATTTGGGGTGACCGACACTGTTAGAGGATCCGTCACTATCAAACGAATCAGTATTCTAGGAGAAGACTCCACTCCGGTGGAGCAAGCGTAACGCAGGGCGTGATGTGGCCGAATATTCGGTAGGACGAGAGCACTGCCCTTAACAATACCCTCTCCTGGTGTGTGAGCAATCCATACCCCACTTGATTCCTGTCGCTGCCAACTGAAGGTTGAAATTAAGGTCGTTATTACTAAATAATGCTATATTGTGAAAGAGCATTTATTTTAAATTCTTTTCTTGGTTATAATAGAACTTACATAATAATATGTCCAGTAACTTGCCGCATAATACATGGAAGTACCACGGTATCTCCAGTTCGCGCTTCGATTGAATTGATTTCGTTATTGTCCAACCAGCTACTATCTAAATTATAATTTACGGGTTTAATTAGTTTTTAATGTACAAGATACTAATAATTTATGTTAGTATATTACTTACCATCAGTAGTTAGTTTTACTATAGGACTCGGAGTATCTAGTGCTAAGCAAGAGTATTCTGCCTGAATATCTGCTTGTGTCAAATCAACGCCTAATAATAAACCGCCTGAACCAGCTATCCATCTTGAATCTGCGAATAAAGATTTATGAAAGTCTATTATTTGCTTTTTGGTTGCAATAACAATAGTGGGTTTTAATTATCGTTATGAATATTTCATATATACTGCCTTGAAAAGACTTCTCGACAAAGAAATTGTAATGATCACAGATCTGTAGCGGGTACTTACCAGTTCCAACAAAACCTGATGAAAGTGTAAGGCCGTCTTGGATCCATCGTATGTCAACTACGCCAACTTGAGGTGATGTTTCGCATCGCAGAACTACCGACCCTCCGATTTTAGCCGGAGTAAGCTGGCGCACAGAATGTGATAAGACGTTGTCTTCAACTGAACATAAGAAAATAAATAGCCTTATTAAATTAACGTTATATGAATCTATAAGTCAGTTTGAACTATATTTAAACATCATCTTCGGTATGGTATTGTCTTGTTTTTGTTATTTGAGGTATGTGGGACTTCGAATATCTGAAGTTCGTTGGGTGGCCAACCCCTAAGCATGATAGAATAAGTTTGGCGATGTCACCTTAAACGCCCTTTTGTACTAAGCATATAGAGATTTCATTTTTAGATGATTGACTTTTTCATATGTCAAATCTTGACTACAACCACAAAACGAAACGAGCGAACAAGCGCCATCAATCGGCGCTCTACATAGTTTATAACGATTTGTTTACTGGATGAGGTTTAAGTCAAGAAGCGCGCGAATATTCGCTTCACTTTGGCTGTAGCGATCGAACTAACCCTAGTTACAAATAAAAAAAACGCATGGCAGTTCTGGATACAGATCTTTTGTATTTGAGTTTTTTAATTTGTATCTATTATTATCTTTGTTACTCGAGTGGTAATTTCATAATAACAATCAGACTCGTAAATTTAAAATAAGTAGATATAACTTTCTGAATCATCATTACAGGTAATACATATTGAGGTAACGTGTGCACTGCATCCACCTCCGACGTGTTTAATGAAGTTTGTACATTTTAACACAAATATTCAATAGTGTTGTTGAACAATACGAAAATAAAATATAAAAGTGTAGAAGATTTTGCTCAAAACCCATTTGAATAAGAATAAGCCTCTTTGCGCCTCCATTTGTTGCCTTTCAATGCTTCCTTTGTAGCCAGTTCAGTTGTATAGAAAATGTTAAAATATGGTAAGTAAAATCTGTAGCACGGGCGAAAACTGAACAGAAAAGTATTTCCGAACATGACACGAGCTTCGAGAAATATTCAAATCTTATGGGAATATCGTGTTGTAAAGTTCGAAAATGTTTATGTTTGAATTCATAAATAAGTCCCCTCGAACATTCTCTGATTTTTCGCATACGGTTTCCCTTTTTTCTTTCAATGTGCGTAATTTAAAATCAGTTAATTGGATAATAAAATGTGTATGTAGAGGTTGAATTTAGCAAAAATCAGTATTTAAACTATTCCTTTCTGACTTTAAAGAAGAGGCATCATCATTGTGTTTGCCAATGACCAATAACTTAAATTTATATTTTTATCAAAACTATCTGACATTTTAAAATTCGATAATATATACATACACTTTTTTTATGAAACATGGCAAGTCTCAGCTTCTTGGGGATATGAATAAATTGGGGTAGAAAGTTGTTTCTTTACGCAAAATTATAGATGACAGAAATAAAAGCTATAAACTGGTATGTTTTAAATTTTAACATAACTATTTTTATCATTTTATTATATTTTACAATTTTAGGGAAACTTACAGCTAGCACATAATTAAAGTATTGGATTATAAGTTCAGAAGGCCACTTATAAGTTTCCACAATTAGTTAAATATAAAAGAATATGACGCGTACACAGAAGTATAACGGACATAGAGTGTACAGTGACAATTATTTACAAAATTTATAAAAAAATATATTTACCTAATCGTATTTTTTGTTTTCAAAAAAGATGCTGCTAAGCAGTTTTTTAATCTGATAGACCCTTTGTCTAATTTAACGTCGTCGTGTTATAAAAGTTAACGTCGTGTTGCTTAGCTACCGCGTTAAAACATCTGCTTGCTCGAAAAAGGTGGAATTCTGTCTGTAATTCGTTCTAGCTGATGATACGTGTAAGACTGCAGGTTTGCGATATGCGGCGGTTGGAACTCTTAAACTTATATTTAATAACTCTGGACAATCGACCGAGCCATTTACTATGTTAAGTTCATAAGCAATATCTACTGTTCGCCTTCTATCTTCAAGTGGAAGAAAGTGAAAAGTTTGGCACCGTTTAATGTAGTCTGAAATATAACATGTAGTTCGCGTTTCTGTATTTGTTCGATACTTCCGATGAAAGTTCAAAGTCCAATGCGTAAAGTGTCGTTCGTTGTTGCGTTATAATCCTACCCCGCCTTTGTTCTACAGTGGACATGTTCAGGGCGATGATTATTATGTACAAATTCAATACAATGTCAGCAATAATTTATTTTTTACAAAGTTTGACCTTATGTATTCGACCTGCAAAGAAATATAAAAAGAAAATATTGTTTATAAACAGCAACTTCTGTAACTTTCCAAATGAGAGTACACCGCTGTTCGGTATTAGGACTCATAATTTACTTCAAAAGTGTTTCTGCCTGGAATGTATTTGAACAAAGTAAATTCACCTTGTTGCGAACTCACTGTAATGTCATTTTTAATTCCTTAATTAAAAGTTTCGCCGTGTAAAAAACTCTGACGGCCGTTGGCTGTTTTTCATTTTATTTCATAATTCCGTCTCTGTGTAACGGAAAGTTAATTGGTTCAACTCTGCTCGAAGTTGTAATTTGTTTTTCTCTTATTTCGTACATCTCTCGTTTATTACCTAGGGCTATTATTATACTGTACAACATTAATTTCGCTAAATAATTTAATAAACATGTTAGTAACTATTAAATAAAGGTAATATGTTATTTTTAATTTGAAAAAACTTTTTAAATTAATTATTATTTATTTGTTTCATCATCATCATCATCATTTCAGCCTGTTTAAGTCTACTGCTGAACATAGGCCTCCTCCACAGACTGTCACAAAGCACGATCCTGATTTAAATTACTGTTATTAATGTGACTCCTAAATACAGAGTCACATTTAAATGAAAATATTCAGATATTAAGCATAGTTTATATTTTTATTTTTATGAACATTAAACAATAAACTATGATGTCGATTTACTACACAGTTTTAGGGTAGGGGTGGGGTAGAGTAGTTCACTGTGGTTGGGCCACGCAAGTCTTCCGACCGAGTAAGTACCAAGACCTCAGAGAAAGCCGGCGTGAAGTGGAAGTGTTATATTTCTCTCTTTCGTCTGCTGAGTGAAGCCGGCCCTACTTTATTAAAAGGTAAATAACATAAGGTGCAAGCGTTTAAATATTTGTTCTTCACTGATTACAATAGGTCTGACAATTTAATTATTTTTGATGAATGATATCATCAATTTAATAGATATCGTCGAACGCAGTAAATATAACTGACTAAAGAAAGTAGAAATCAATATACCTGGCTGTAGTAACATGGGCCTAGAAAGGATGGTTCCCGCCTTGTTCGTTGCCTTGCATCTCAGAATTGCACTGCTTCCGCCACCACCAGAATCCACCATTGACCGTCTCGCTCCAACCACTAGTCGCCCGTCGCTTAGAACGTGCCTGAGTAAAAAAAAATTATAAAAACAAAGTATAACAACTAGTCTTTATCATGTAGTAGTAGTCTCTATCGTGATCTATCTTTGTTAAGACCACGTAGCAGGCTTGTGAACTAGCTACCAATCCTACTAAATCATTAATCCCCTTTTAGATACCTTATACGATGACCTTCCTGACTTAGCCCTATTCTACGAGCCCAAAACTACAGGGCTTGTAATGATGTAGCCTTGTTAGTCGTTTTATTAAAATCAACATTTTGATATTAAAAAAATAACCAACAGAAACACGATCAATTTAATGTAAAGTATTAAAGGTACTCCTATTACACGTACTTATACATCCAAATGAATCACTACACGTAATATGGAAAAGAAATTATGCTGTTCATTTACAACTATTGATAAATCTAATATTTACAAGATTAAATCTATCTATAATTACATATTATCTAATAAACCTAATCCACGCGGCATGGTACCAAGAACGCAAAATTAACGTTACAACTGCGTATATTAGCAAGTTTATATAAATACTTATGAAGTTTATAAATGGAGTCATTATTACCTCTTAATCTTTATATTAAAACAACTATTACAGTTATTAGGGAACCGGAGTCCCTTATATTGCTCAATTATAGAAGTGTATGTTTTCAACCTTTTTAAAAGGGCAACATCTATATGTACACAATCCAACTATTTATGTTATTGACACGGGACGATACATCATTAGCGAAAGGGACGATAAGGAGACTGAGTAAATATCTCCTTGTTGCGCAGTCGAAATGTATCATTCAGGTTACACAAAAAGTATCCCGAAGGAAAGTCGGCTAACAAAATTTAAGTGTTGACATTCAAGAAAATACTTGCGATTTATTAGATACAACTAATATTCGCCTAGATATAATTTCTGTATTAAAAGTAAAACGAACAACTGAATCGTCGTAAATAGAGGAACTAGGAAAATTTGCATTCGCTTTACTGCTGAACTATAAAATAACATATTAAAGTATTATGTTGCTAATAAAAAGAATACTAATTAATTAAACATTCTATTGACGTGCCCTCATTACAGTCGGTTAAGTGGGGGTCGCGACAGAGACCCTTTAGTCATTCATATTATACTAGTCGGCGCCAGTCATTGCAGTCTTAATGCAACCTAGCCTCATTAGTGCGAATTTTCCTCATTTATTTTTTTTAAACTGTAACTTATTCTGTTACTGACTGTGACAGAAAGGTAGACTTATAAATGCTAATCTTGAATTATTTCTTAAACCGCAATGGTTAAGTATTCAGAAGAAAATTGGTGATTGCTTTAATTAGAAGTTCATTACTACAGATTAATGAAATAATTCACTTTACTACATGCCAGTACATTCTCCAGGCTCTCGAGTATCGATAACGTGTGAAATATTGGTAAAGTTGTTTCGATTTCATCCCGACTTATTGACATCCCGGTCTAGAATATTTCTAATAACGAATAGTGATACGTCAAAGTTTTAAAAAGACGTAACAATTTATAGTTCCTTTTATAAGTAACTAATGATTTTTCTAATATGCATTTATAAAGAAAAACCTCTCTTAATTATGCAAGATCATTTTTTATCATTCTTTAAGGTACACAGAACCTGATATTGATTTATTGTTAAAAATTAATACGGTTCTCTTTAAGAACTGCAGTTCCTTGTGGTAAAGCTCGGCTTTATGTTATTTAAAAATGTAGAAAATTAATACCTAGTTTTTTAAAAAATTAAAAAAATGGGTCCTACAACGTTATCATGTTAGATTTGAAATGATAGCTAAAACAATTAAAGCAGTAATATGCAGTGGTAAAATTTTATAATAACAAGCACTTTGTTAGAAAATACTACACTTAACAGAATATATGAACTAACGTTTACACGTTGTATATGTAATTTAAATTTTGGTACTGAAAAAAATATAGCATAGATGGTGATTATAAACAGAAGTTGCAAGAAGGTTCAGACGCAATGTCAAAAAAATATACGAACCAATACGATCATTATTTCAATTGCTAACAGAAGCTCTGTTTTTAGTGAGTGGCCACGGTGGGGCGAATTAATAGAATATTTAAGAAGATTCCCAGGCTTACACCAAAATTTTTGAAATGTCTCTGGAGAAAATAATGCATTAGTAACCGTGTCTCATGTGGAATATTCCTTTATACGGTCTACAGGCTTAATGGAGAATATAGGCTCCCTTATATAACTAAAACAATCATCATCATCATATCAGCCGTAGGACGTCCACTGCTGAACATAAGCCTCCCCATTGACTACATACATACATACATACAAAATAATATAGCTATAAAATCCTGAGTTAAGTCTGACGTCTAACTTTATCCCGCGAATATGAATACTGCCAAGTACGTGTTCTAAATCTACCTAATTAAAGTTTAAAATAAACGAAAGAGTCGTAACATTTTACGAAATTAATTAGTTTTTAAAGTATTTTAGTTTTAATATTAATTTTTTTCAGATTTAAATTTTGTTTAGTTGAAACTGATTGGTTATATTAAATATAGGAAAGAGACTGAAGCTTTTAGAACAAATAAGTTTTCAATTTAATTTAAAAGGAACGCAATAAAATTTAATCCTCGATTTTACAATGTAAACATACTTAGATATTTGTAAAAGATATAAAAATGTTTGATAAACGACTTGGACAAAATTACCATCTAAATCACTTGAATTTTAATAAATATTTTGTTTTCACTAATTTATTGACATCTTGGTAATATGTTATATTTTTTGATATATACTATTATTATTTCTTTCAGTAAAACATGTTTTTCTTTGATTAATATTCATAATTTTTTTTTACGGAGAAAAGGGGCAACACTAGCAGGAGGCTCACCTGATGGTAAGTGATTACCGCCGCCCATGAACACCTGCAACACCCGAGGGCTCACAAATGCTTTGCCGGCCTTTTAAGAAAGAGTACGCTCTCTTTTTGAAGGTTCCCAGGTCGTAACGGTTCGGAAAGACCGCCGGCGGCAGTTGGTTCCACAGAGTGGTTGTGCGAGGCAAGAAATGCCTTAAAAATCACGCTGTTGTGGAACGTTGGACATCGAGGTGGTGTGGATGGAATTTTTGGTTCTGGCGCGATGTCCGATGGTGGAATTCAGCCGCCGGGATTAATCCAAACAATTCCTCAGAACACTCCCCGTGATAAATGCGGTAGAAGATGCAGAGTGATCTAACATCAAGCCGATCGGAAAGACTTTGATCGAATTTAGGTCGGTGATAGCTCAGTGTCCGGGCGCTCGCCTTTAATTCAATATGCTCGAGCAACCTGAGTTCGATCCTCGGTGCTGCCACCAATGAAGTTTTTAACTTTAAGTCCTGACTTATCACGTGCTCCGTGGTGAAGGAAAACATCGTGAGGAAACCTGCATATTTTCGAAATAATAAAAAAAAATATTTCGAAGATATGTGGAGTCTGCCAATCCGCAGTGGGGCCGCGTGGTGGACTATGCCCTGATACCCTCCGTATAGAGTAGGCCTTTGCCCAGCAGTTGTTACTTTTGTTACTTTACTTAACTATATATTTTTAAATCATTACATTATGTATATTATAGAAATATCCTCTAATAACTAAAAAATTTAAATTAACGTGTACAAAATTTGTATAAGATGCATCTTATAAGCAGTAATTTGAGAGAGTATTTATCCTATTGTTAACTTATTTTTTTTTGTCTCATTGACTGCTGACAATTTTTGGCTTTATAGTTTGGATTTTTATTCCATTACTCATATTGTTTGTTGTTTAAATGTAGCACAGCAATGTAAATTAACGCTACAACTTTATTCCCAATAGTACCTATATATACTCGAAGTTATAATAAAATATGTGAATGAATATATGGAAGTTGTCAGAAATTTAGGCCTTGTTACTGATCAAGAACTGCTCTTTGAGAGTCATGTTAATAATCTAGTGAAAGAGTGATATTGTAGATTAAAAGTTTAATAAAGAAAAATAAATTATATATTATTTGAAGTTATAAACAGGAATGTCTATATCAAACTTAAATCGGAAGCTCAAGTATTGCAAGAACCTTAGCAGGTCTTTTGCCGAACCGCTTTCTATGATACAGTCCATAACATCAGCCCTTAAAGGAATCCTGCTGGAATGATTTGGTTTTCCACCGTCAAAAAATATGATCCAATCATAGCTTTAATTACAGATATGCAAACATATAGGAATACATGCATACGTATAGGTACACCTAATGAAAGAATGTAAGACGCGAACCCACCTCAAGCCTGGTATCGTGGTGAGGATTTGACCTTCTGCGGTCACCCAGCTAAGGTCCGGCGCGGGGTGGCCAGTGGCGCGACATGCGGCGTACGCCCCCCGAGTGGATGGCCAGAGCACTCGTGACGGCGGCTCCAGGGTGAAGTGGGGTCGCTTGTTCCCCGCACTCGTTGCCAACGCGACAGCAAGGATCGCAACGGTCCATAATATCTTATTCCCTTAACAGACAAGCCTCTATTTTACCAGCGGCCCTCGATCGTTCAAAAAGCAAATCTATGTGCAACGTGGCTTGCCGCAGATACTGAAGTCCGATTGCTACGCCGTAGCATGTCCAGGCTACGAAACGTCATTTCTATTTTCACGTATAAAGCTACACGTTTTATTATATTGATCATCTAGACTACTGAATTCAAAACGTTAGTTTTAAATGCAAAATCACACAAGTATAGATATATAAACATCCAGACACAGGAAAAACACTATGTTCATCACACAATATTTTTCCAGTAGTGGGATCGAACCCACACCCTCTGGCGCAGAAGGCAGGTACACTACCCACTATGCCATTCGGGTCGTCGAAACTGGATTTAAAGTTTTTGTAATAAAAATTAAGAAAAACTATAAATCATGTAATATAATGTAATGTGTAATTATGCAGTCGAACAATATAAAAGCTTTTTTTCCGAACTGATGTTATTTTATTTTCATTGATCAAACTTTTTAAAATTCCTTGTTTCGATGAACTGTCTATTTTTTTTCCTTAGTATTGTATCTAATGGCTTGGCTTGAAAAGCGAAGCACATTGCACCATTTCACTTGTGTGGGGCATTGGGGGCAATGGATATTTAAAAAGATTTATTATTATGCCGTTTATACTAAGCCATATCGTAAATCAAGTCGTGCGACCAACATCAATTGGCCGGGTTGGTGCATTATTTACAACAAACTGCAATATAGGCCAAATGTTTGACGTTATCTATGATCGTTAAAAAATACCTAAATTTGTTGATTATGAAATAAACTAACGGAAAACTCAATTGAAAATGTTCGCTTACAAGAGCTTACGTAACATTAAAAAATATATTCATTATAAAACTTCAGTGTTTGATCAAATGTTTTAATTAATTGATATTGCCGGAACATTTTTTTTTTCTCGTTATTATTTTGTGTCGATAATGAAATAACATTTGATACGTAAATAAATGATATTTCGGCTGTAGTTTTTGTTTAATCAAATTGGGATACTTTAATTATTAAATGTTTATTTTATTTTTCGTTTGTTGATAATTTGATAATTTAAAAATAGAGTGAGTATGTACGAAAGATTTTTTTTACTTCATATTGTTTTTGTTCTTTTGTAAGTATGGTGTGTTTATATCGCTTTTTAAATTTATTGTACATCACATTACTTCTGATTAGTTATGCGGTAACAATTAAAAAAATCTTCGGACACAAACGAACCTTTCATTACTCAGTCAAAAATTCACTAGAACTTCCCAAATCAATAAAATTCAAGTATAATCACATCGACAGTCATTGTATTCTCGCGTTAAAACTTCTCAACACTGCACACTTCCAGTTCCCGCCGAGGAATAGCATCCCTCTCTCCGCGTGTATGCGGCGATCGCACAAAACTTTCCCCCCATAGCGGCGGAGCTGAAACACGTCCTACATCTGCGGCGGCTGTGAGGGCACTGGCGTTTGTTACTCCCTGCCCACCCGCGCGTTTTCAGCGGCAAATCTGTTGCGGATCTCTTCCGGAGCGACGAAGCATTGTTTCCAAGGATACATATAATTTATTTTTAAAAAAGTTAGCTAGGTTGTAGCTCACTTCACTTGATGACTTCTTATAGACCTTCGTAGCAGTTTCATCGTAGGCCTTTCTAGGCTCTTTAAAACTGCAAAATAGACTCTCTTCTTCAAATTACAGACATATATATATATATATATATATATATATTTTTTTTTTTTTTTTAAAGTAGCTAGGATAGCTGAAGCTCACTTCGTGACTGCTTATGGACATTCGCAGCAGTTGTATCGTAGACCATTCTAGGCTGTTTAGAACTAAAAAATAGACGCTCTTCTTCAAATTACCTCGGGCTTTGTTCGATTGATTATGTTGCCTCGTGTCTTGGTAAATTTATTGTTTTCCGATACGGATGGCGTATTCTCCGTTTTCATTCTTTCCCGTTCATGGTAACTTTGTGGGTGTTGCTTGTTATTTAACTTTTAATTCAATATATTCGAGCCACCAGAGTTTAAATCACGGTGCCAGTACCGATGAAATTGTTAACTAGAATTTCATAAGCTAACTCATCACATGCTCTTAGGGGAAGGAAAACATTGTGAGGAAACCAGCATATTTTCCAAGTAATAATAAAAAAAACGCGTGTGTGCTATATTACCCACGTAAAAAGTTATAATTCTTTGGTGTAACAAAAGAAAAATAACTAAAACTTTTATCGCCTGTGCTAATAGTCTATGTTTGTGAAACTAGTGCATTAAATCCATTTAGGTAAATGTCAAGTAGTTGTTACGCCATGGTAATTTAAATAGGATGCTGGTCGCTTTGCAACCAACTTGATGTTGATGTGCACGCGAATCTTAAAATTTTTACTCTCATATTTTTTTCCAAACGCTCCAAAAGAAGTTAAACTTCAAAAAAAATCACAGAGACACAAATGCGTCGCCAGCTGTTGAAAAAGGAATAGGCTCTTTTCTTGAAGATATGTGAAGTCTGCGCATCCACGAAGGTGTTGCGTGGTTGACTACGCCCTAACAGATTCTATGCACAGATCATTGGCCAGTAGTAGAACATACGTATAAAGGTGATTACTTAACAGTTTTTTTATGCTGTAATAATGGCTTCGAGACTTAAAGCTTAAAAAAAAACGGTTCCTTTTATGTGATTATTCCCATTCCGGTTAGAATATAAGCCGCGAGAGTTGTATTTTAATATAAATAATAAATTTACTCGCTTTTCTGAAACTGTGAATGTAATAATTACTGCGTTGGAACATCTAGGCCATTTTATTACTTCCTGATTAACAGATACTTTTAAATTGATTTAAAAATGTAAAACAATAAATTATTTCTCTTACGCGTTAATCTGCTTTCTGAGCAGAGCTTTTTATTTAAGAGACGAGGAAAGCATTAGTGGAATTAATGTTCCAAGTGATTCCCCATTGCCTTAATAGATCCGAGATCAGTCCTGAATGGAATATTAAGTTAAAGTAAAGAAAGATAGAACAATCGAGGAGTAGATTAATTCGCAAAGTGTATGGTTTTAAAGAAATCTTTTTATAGAAATAATAAAATTTTAGAACTGCGTTCATTTGTCAAAATATCGTTAAAAACTTTAAATCTAATGATATTTAAAATATAACCAAATTTATTTTTTAGTACATTATGCTTTTAGGTTTAGTTTCAGTCTTGTCTCTTTACGGTTACCACTTGATCGAATTCTATCGACGCTTACTGCAATTAGAGAATGCAAAAAAGATGATGGTAGCATGTGAGGCCGTCAAACAATACTGCATTTTGCTGCTGCTCAAAAACAAAGGGGAGAATTCACCTCGTCAAAGGATGTAAGTTCAGCACATATCGCTCAGTAAAAATTGAAGTCGGGGCGTGCGCGGGTTATATTCATAATGACCTCCTTTGTGTTAAGAGCGACTGCATGCTGAAAATGCTCTGCTAATGATAAAAAGGGTGCCGTATATGCTAAAAAGCGTTATACCGTAAATTTTGGATTACACAAACTCTCATTTTTTCCGACGCACGGGGGATGGGCAGCTCTATTGAATATTTTTCCTTTATATTTCTTTTTCCTTTTAGTTTTCATGTCTTTATTCGCTTTATAAGATGTCTTAGCAATAAATTAATTCATTAGTTAATGTTTTTCAACTTGTACGGATCTGCGTGTTTATTTCCAAGGAGATTTGACGTCAGGCAGACGATCAGTCGAAAGGGGTCTAGCCAAAATTACTTAAAACATGATTCATATGCTGTGCCGACCATTTCTAAGTGCCATAAAGGCAGTAGGTTAATGGTGATAATTTTTGACATATTTACTCTCAAAAGTTTATAATTAATAAACGAGGCAAATGAGCAAGCGAGTTACCGGATCGTAAATGATCACCACCGCCCATGGACACGTGCAACATCCGAGGGGTCACAATTGGCTTTAACATAGGAGTAGGTTCTCTTCTTAAAGGCCCTTATGACGTAATAGTCCGGACATACCGCCGGCGACTAGTTCCACAAATCTTCAAATATTAGGACTTGTTTGTACGAAGAGCCAGTTAATTTTATTTCGAAATATTGCATACCAATAAATTCGACTGTGAAATGTTTTCCGCGTAAACTTTGTCGGCTGATTCGTTACGAGATGAGTAAGTTTTACGAGGTATTTCGTTTCGGAAATATGAATCAGAGTCCGTCAATCCTTTTAACGCAATATTAAAATGTTCTCTTTTATAAATTATGAACAAATTTCATTCCATTCAAGTTGAATTCTGTAAAATTTCAGGCTAGTCTTGACTCAAAGTGTGTTACAGTTCCGAGAGTTGAGTTTTATGTGAAAAAGTAAACAGAAACGAAGTGTACTTACATATCAACTTGTATTTAATATTCACTATTAAGGATTCGATGTGGTATACACATAGATAGAACTCTTCGGTATATATAACTCTTTATATTAAAACATATGTGTTAAGACCGCCATTTTTGTCATTAATTTTTTATTTCTATATTTTTTTAAGTCAGTTTATTAGTTATTTATGTAGATTTATTTAGAAAGAAAGATATTTATCGATTTAATCATTGTAAAATGAAGAGTATCAGTTTCTGATAAAGTATTATTAAAAAAACTGCTAGTATTACTTAACTTAACAGTTCTGTACTAACGGCCAACATTTTTATTAATAAATTTACCTACCGTTCATTCATTATTTTCTAAAGAAGCGAAATTCTGTATTTTCTGGTTTTCTTTTTCATTTAGTAAACTGCTCATATTTTGGTTCCTTAAAGAATCTTAAAGAGCCCAAACCATGGATTTCTTTTTCATCTTTACGTAAATCCTCGGGGAACATCAAAAGGCTTTTTATTACCGTTGGAATATCCTTTGAAAATCCATCTTCACAGTGTAATTCCTATTTATATGCCTATATTCCTTTAGATAAAAGAAATAAGTATTAGCGTGTTGTGTTACTTTTGTAGATTTGTGGCCACTGTAATGTTATTAAAATCCCTTGTATAAATAAAGAAAATGGCAACATCGTTATACTTTATTTTTGTTATTTTTTTATTTTTCATCAAAAACATTAAGAATAAAACGTTGGCACTGTCCTATTAATAAAGTATAAAGAGTAATTATTATTAATAGAAAAGTGTGGTTATGTTTATAAGATCCATTAGTTACAAACTATTTTGTCGTGTTTGGTCTTAAAGTATTTTTCTTAAGTCTTCTAAAGTGTAATATGATTATCGTATTAAAAATATGATGATAAACTGTTTTTCTCCTCTACATATATGTTTGTTTACATACGGATCAATTATATCTAAGACCTAATTTTTTTTATGTCTTAGAACAACAAATTAGTCCAAATGTAAACCAAGTCCATGGAGTAATTTGTGTTGTAATGTGTGTAGTGTGTAGTAGTACCTGGAGGACCGGTTTTATTTTTTTAAATCACGTATTTTGGAAATAAAAAACAAAAATAATGAAAGCAATGATCTGGTATAGAAAAAAGAAAAAAAAGTGTGTAAATCAAAAATAATCGTGATACGAACCGTCCGTCTGTTCTGGGGCCGCGCGATTACCGACCGCGCTATTTTAAAATTTTTTTTGCGGCGTAAGTTACCGTCATATTCGAATGATATTTTTCATTCCCTGAAAACAGGGATTTTCTAAAAATGAAACCTAGCTAGATCGATTTTTCGCCCCCGAATCTACGCACATACTAAATTTCATGAAAATAGCTGGAGCCGTTTCCGAGATTCCGATTGTATATATATATATATATATATATATATATATATATATATATATATATATATATATATATATATATATCCAGTGATTTTCATGAAATTTAGTACTATAATTTAGTACATATATACAAGAATTGCTCGTTCAAAGGATAAGATATATGGTAGGTTTAATTATTGTAGCTTATTTATTTGATCATATTTATAAAATGTTATTTCCATAAGTATACTGGTTACTTTAATAACAATCAATATTATAGATTAAGGACGAGTCCCAATCAATGATATGGATATATAATTATGTAGAATACACATTTTTAAACCTTAACCAGTAATTTTTTCTAAAGGAACATTGAAGAAAAAACCCAAACAGGATACACAGTTAGGTATTTGTGATATTTGCGAAAAATTTGATAATGTGCTGAATACATTACCATTATTCATATTTTTAAATAGAAAGAGGATCTTTTTTATATAATTTCATTAATTTGGGTAAATAGGTGTTTTATATTTAATGATTAATATATGTTGTTGATAGATAACTATTTACCTGATTTATTAGGACATTTTTGTTTTACTGACACAAGATGGACGTACAATGAAGGTCTAATGATGTGCACAATATGTGTGTTAGTGAAAAGAATCTTCAATGATTCGTATGCATCAACGTGTCAGTGAGAGAAATGTACTTCATGTAAGAACTACTCAAACCAGAAGGGTGATACTCTCCGCCGTATGTATCTTATAAAGGCAGTATTAAAATTGAACTGCCGCGTGCAACAGTATAACAGTGCACCTACATCTATCAAATTTGAAAATAATAATGATGTTTGAAAAGTAAACTCGACGACTAAAAAGTATGAAAGCAGAAATGTTCTCATCAAAAATTATTAGGTCGGAACTATAAAATGGCTTTATTCAATTAAATAAAAAAACTAACACATATACATTTTAATCTATTTAATTACAAAAACAATCACATGTTCATTGTGATTTTCCGAGTGTACGACCACCGCTGTCCTTTTCATTTTCATATGCTATCGCGTGGAGTCATTCC